AGCAATCGTCTGGAAGGAATGAAAATGTATTTTTCTCAGGGCGCCCAAGGTAGTCACGTGCCAGGAAGTAGCTGCCGGACGTAGAAAAAGTATATAATAAAGCGACTGGTAGAATTGTCTGCTGCAGTCTTGTATGTCCTTGTGTGTGTCTGTGTGTTTCTTTCTGTGTCCATCCCCCATTCTGCAATCCAGGCCGCGACAATTTAAGTCTCAGAATCAACTAATTGTGTGTGTTCTATTTTAGTGTAATGTCTAGAAATATAAGTAAGAATCTCAAACCATTCTGTGGCTCAAACAAAAATGAAACTTCTTCTATTTTATTGATGCAGAGATTAAGTTACCAAAGGCAGACTTTGCATTGAGTTTCTCAGGTCTCTCCAAAGAATTCTCAACTTTAGGAGAAGTTTCAGCAGGAGTTACTAAACACTTGCCTAAGTGTTTAAATTTTAAGATAAAATCTGTTCATGTGTAAAGAGGGACTAAGATGGCTTGTCTGGTAGTATTTCTCAATTCAGAGACCTCAATATAGAAATGTGAGAGGAACATGGTAGCCAGATTATCAAACCACACTTGGAGCTTCTTGGTAGATCTTTCTATGTTATACTGACAGTAACTAACTTTATTCCGAATGAACATCAACAAAGCTTGATATGTTTATGGACAAGTGGCCATCTTCTACTGTTTTGGCTAGTTACACTACTTCGGAAACAATGCAGTCCAGAGAAAGAATGTGGATTCAGGAGTCAGAAGTTTTGAGATCAAAGCCCAGCTCTGTGTTTTAATGGTTTGTCCTTCTACTAGTCAGTTTGGCTGTTTGAAATTCTGTTTTGTCATTTATACAATAGGAAAAATAATAATTACTACCTCATGTAGTGGTTGTCCAGATCACACGAAAAAGTATATGAGAGCGTTTTGTAAAAGAACTATACAAATGGTAGTTATCTTAATAAGAGTAATAATGATAACAACAGTGACAGTAGCAACAACATATTCTACAAAGCATTTCCAGAACGTGGCGCTGCTCTCGTCGGGGTTTAGAAGATGACAGCGGCTGCTTCATTTGAATCAAAGCAGGAATTAAAATCTGAGAGATGAATTTCATGCAATTCTGATGTCAAGTTGATGTTTGCTGTCAATGTCTGCAAGTTTAGTGATTAAGCAATTCACAGAGCTCTATAATTGGAAAGAAATATTGATTTCTTTTTATGTCTTCCTCCTTTTCTTCTTCGGCCTCCTCCTCTTCTTCTTTGTCTTCATCTTTGTCTTGCTACTTGAGTCCTTAGTTACACTGATGATAAATGGGATGGAAATACTGAATCCAGTAATCAAACATGTGAGTTGGAGCACCAAGAAAAAATTTGGTTATAGTCATTAATATAGAGAAGGTAATATAGAGGAGGGGTGATTACAACTAGAACTAACTTCTGTTTTATGAAGTGGAAAATTATTTATCAATCATGAAGTACTAGTTTATTCCTAATCCAGGGGGAAAAACACCAAAGTTAAAAATACTTATATTCTGTACCAGCAGAGATAGCACCAGCCTCCTCTCTGCCTTAATTAATCCCACAGAAACTCAGAGCAGGTGGTCAGTGGGAAAACGCTTAGGAAATGCCTTCTGGGTTAGTGTTCCAGAAGGAGAAACTGACACAGGAAAGTGACTCCCAATGCTGGGAATCACTTGAAGTCCAAGTGGGTCCTTGGCTTTGTGGAAGAAAGAATTCAACAATGAGCCAAGAGTATAAAGTGAGAGTGAGTTTTATTCAAAAAGTATAGAAAATCTACTCTCTCTGTGGAGAACCGGCCCCGTGGTTCCTTTATCCCTTCTATTTAAGCAACAGCTTAATTACAGGTTAAACAAGGGGAGGAATATTCACATTATTTCTTGGAAATGGGTGGTGTTTTCCTGGACTTAGGGTGATGCCCTACATTTGACTAAATATGGTCAAACAGGAAATGTCATGGCCTCAGGTGCACAATGGGAGTGGGAGGTTTTCTTAGAAAGCTTTATGGTAATGAGCTGCAAGGTAAAGAAGCAGTCAATTTCTCCACCATCTTGGTTCTAACCAGTTGGAACTTGTCCTTCCTCCACCTTGTTTTTTGATCAGGGTAGCTCAAAGCAAGGTTTGAGACTTCCTGACTCAGTTAAGCAATGCCTGCACAATTGAGCAGTGCCTAAATCAATGCCTGCCGGATCCACTTCCCTGTATCAAAACTACTATTAATATTGTTCATTTTTCTTCTAAAGCCTAAAGGTATGCATATGAACAGTGTTCAACCTAAATGTCTAGCAGGGCCCCTTGTCTCTTTAGTAAGCATGTCTTTCTAAGAAGCCACAACAAAAACTGGCAACAAATCTGTTGGCATTGGCTCGGGGACTCTATCCTCATTCTCCATTATTCTTTGTCTAGAAGCAAAGGCAGGTGAGAGGGACAGGCACCCTCCTTGCTGATTAATTGCCTCATTACCAGAATGCATGGGGCCACAGTGCCTCGCTGCAGAAAAGGGGAGTTGACTTGGTATGTGGTACAGACGCTCTAAAATAAGATCATATTCCTGCTCCCAACAGTCAAAACAGAGCTACGTGCAGAAGCTGGATTTGCCCTATACGTAGCAAGAAGTTACATCCCACTTCTCTGTTTAACCCAACCCATGTCTTCCTAGGTTCAAGGACTCAGAACACTAACTTGGTATTTTCAGAGAAGCGTGAGTACATTTCATATACCCAGCCATAGAAAGATAGGAAAGAGCAGAATTGAATTAAGTATCTATTGCAGTGAATCATGGCATATAAATTACCTTTTTAGTTTTTTTTCTTCTAGTTAGTGCTCAAGTGCTAGTTTTAAAAAGGTTAAAGATCAAGATATGAGTTCATTTGGCATTAATTGGGTACACTTACCTGTAACAAGCATGCCGTGATTGGCATCGAATATCATAGAATAAATCTGCATGTCTCCTGGGCCTCCCTGGCTGTCGTGGAAGACTTGTAATAGTGACAGAGTCTGTATATCCCACACCCTGAAAACCTGGGAGAATAAAAAACACAGTTCACCACCGTTTATGCTTTACCTTTCCCACGCAATATTTTTAGGTGAAGGAAGCATTTAAAAGTCTGAAATATGCCCTTATAAACTTGCAGCAAAGCATGATTTGTACAGTGAGCACACATGTGCTAAGCTCCAATTTAGTTGTTGGTTCGATTATTGTTCATGAATATCAGAGGAAAATAGCAGCAGTGATTTATACTTTGCTTAAATGTGTACCTTTAGGAACTAGATATTTCTATTATTATAGACGGGGAGGAACATAGTATTTAATATTTATTACTCTTTACAATTTGAAGGAATAATAAAAGACCGATCATTATGTACAGTTAAAGCCACATTTCTCTTTCTACTATGGATGAGGAAAATAAGAAGACTTATATTTAAATAGAAGGTTTCAAATTGTTCTTTCCTGATTTATGAAGACGGGAACATCTTACTTCCTGAGGTTTCTAAGAACTTCCCCCTCCTTGTGCCCAGAGATGTAAGAATTATATTAACAGAATTTTTAGGGATGGTATAAATATAGCAAGAGTATGGAGAAATAGGTTATTAGAGCTCTCATTTGAGGGAAGAAAGAGAACTATATAGTTACTCAAGTAGAACTTGAGTTGATATTAGAGACTAGAAAGAACAATGAAATACAAATTCAGCAAAACTAGGTCAAGTTTTTCCCCCAAAATAACTGGTCATAGTCTTCATTATTCTGGGTTTTTTTTTTTTTTTAGCAAGTTACAGTGTGATTGAATTTCATAAATAAATGTGATTTGATCGAGAATAACATTTTTTCTAGCCATGCATCAGCCTTAAACAATATTTTCATATTATCATAGTTTTTATTAACCTATTAAATTGGAGTATTTGTTGAATAAATGCGTGACCATTTACAGAACTGCATGTAAAATTCTAGTAAGTAGTTTAGCTAACAGAGATAGTTTAGTTAACAGAGATGCTAACTTCTAATTTGAGGTACTTATAACTGAGTTAATTATTTGTTAACTGAGTTCAAATCTTCACTATTTCTAAGGCAGGTTGGTCTTATATGTAAGAACACTAAGATGTCTAAGTCACATGATTTAGGGAACATTGGCAAGGAGGCTTTGTTCAAATGTACACCCTCTGTAGGCTAATATTTCTCAGACTTGTACAGTTGACATTTATTTCCTTTGTTCTAGTGAAAATGCAAATTTTGGGGGAGTAGATAGAACATTGAACCTTTCAGTCTTTTGTGTCATAGAGTAAACAAGTATAATGGACTGTTTATGAATTTAGGTTCAGAGCCTAGATGAGAGACAAATAGAGGAAGAGATACAAAAGTGGAATCAAAGAGTGCAGCAAAGAAATTTATCTCTATGCAAATAGTTTCTCATTTTATTGCTTTGGCTGAGATATGTCCATGGCTTCTTCTTGCTGTATATGTGTACATGCTGAATTGCAGTTGGTGGGAAGAACAAGGGACCAGGCAAAAGATGACTAGGGATCCAGTTCTAGTTCATTATTTAAACTCCTTGATTCTCAATTTTCTTGTTTCTAGAATGGACATATTGACCTGGCACCTCCTCTATCTCTGAAATGATGTGAATATATTTTGAAATCTGTGATGTTCTCTACAGAGTAATACTGTTTTCTCTTTTTCTTCTCTCTCTTCTTCAGTGTTCAGCTCTTTGGGTCTTTTATATGTGTTTTAGGGAAGTGGCAATTGCTAGACTGTAGGAGGCAAAGACCTCCCTCTTTATACCGCCCCTATCCTCTGGGTTTTTCTACTGACTCTCTCCCTACATTCCCCCTTTCTTACTGTCATACCAAAGTGCTTCTCATTCCCAAAAAGCCCTTTTCTTACTCCAGTCTCTGTGCATTCACACAAACTCTTCCTCTCATCTATAATTTCCTCTCAACAGCCTTCCCCATCTAGCTAACTCCTACTCATTTTTAAAACTCTTCCATAAAGAGGACTAAAGAGTTAGGGTTCAGGTCAGAATAGTGCTAGAAGTTTATGCTGTCCTGTGCCATTTCTTCTCCAAACATAGAGAAAATGTAAAAAAGAGAAAGCAAAAAGAAACAGCAAGGCTCCAAAACTGGATATATATTTCTCTAGATCTCAGTGGGAGAGAAGCACAAAGCAATGACTGGGCTGAAACCAGAGGGCTGGGCACAGGGTCTGGAGCAGGCAGTTGCAGCAGAGCAGGCTCTGCGGGACAGACAGGACCAGAAGCGTTCCAAGCCTGGGACCCACGGCAGAGGCAGCAGCGGGTCTCTCAGTTCAGAAGGAGACTGGGAAGCAACTGGCTGTGCTCTGTTCTTATCTGGAGATACAGCTTTGTGAAAGACGTGGGACCAGTGGGGGTGGAGAGATTGCCTTCCTAATTTTACTCAATGGCCACAAGAGGCTAATAAGATTTTTAGTCCCCAAATAAATCAAATTAGGGCCACTCAATTGATTAGATGACTTTACATGGAAGAGCCTGAATATATATGAGATTATAAAACTATTTTGAGAATTAATATAGTACATAGAAAAATGGTATATTTGAAAATCAAGGTATATGTAACAGTGCGGTACAAATGGTAGGCATTCAGCACTACCCGTGGAGAGAATTCAGTGCAAAACATGTATTAAGTTCTTACAAATAACTTAGTAAGAAAAATTATATTTTTAGCAATGTGTATGAAACTAAATCTGTTAATTTTATCATCTTGTTTTCACATTTTTCCTGTGTGATAACCGGCAAATAGAAAATGAAGACATCCAGTATGTCTTTAAAAATTAACTTTTTAAGTACCAAATTTTTACATATACCTAGTAAACAAATTTAGATTATACAAAAACCAAACTCCCCCTTCCTACCCTAACATTTCCTCTGGACTTATAGATATTGGCCTAGGGAAAGAATTTATGAAGAAGACACCAAAGGCAATCACAGCAACAACAAAAATAAATAAATGGGATCTGATCAAATTAAAAAGCTCTGGACAGCCAAGGAAACTATCATGAGAGCAAACAGACAACCTACTGTATGGGAGAAAATATTCGTATACCACACATCGATAAAGGGCTGATAACTAGAATCTATATAGAACTCAGGAAAATCAGCAAGAAAAAAGTCAAACAACCCCATTAAAAAATGGGCAAAGGATATGAACAGAAACTTTTCAAAAGAAGATAGACTAATGACCAAGAAACATAAGGAAAAATGTTCAACATCTCTAATCATTGGGGAAATGCAAATCAAAACCACAATGAGATATCACTTAACTCCAGTAAGAATGGCCTTTATCAAAAAGTCCCAAAACAATAAATGTTGGTGTGGATGCAGAGAGATAGGAACATTCATACACTACTGGTGGGACTTCAAACTAATATAACCTCTATGGAAAGCAATATGGAGATACCTCAAAGAGCTACAAGTAGAACTACCATTTGATCCAGCAATCCCATTACTTGGCATCTACCCAAAGGAAAAAAAGAAATTCTATAAAAAAGACATCTGCATGAGAATATTTATTAGAAAACACAATTAGCAGTGCAATTCATAATTGCAAAGATGTGGAAATAACCCAAGTGCCCATCAATCCATGAGTGGCTTAGTAAAATGTGGTATATGTATACCATGGAGTTCTACTCAGCCACAAAAGCAATGGTGATCTAGCACCTCTTGTATTATCCTGGATAGAGCTGGAGCCCATTCTACTAAGTGAAGTATCCCAATAATGGAAAAACAAGCACCACATGTACTCACTATCAAATTGATATTAACTGATCAACACTTATGTGCACATACAGTAGTAACATTTATTGGGTGTCAGGCAGGTGGGAGAGGAGAGGAGGGGATGGGTATATTCACACCTAATGGGTGCAATGTGCACCTTCTGGGGGATGGACATGCTTGAAGCTCTGACTCGGGTGGTCCAAAGGCAATATATGTAACCTAAACATTTGTACCCCCATAATATGCTGAAATAAAAAGAAATGATCAGGAGAAGATGAGGTTGCTTGTGAAGAGTGAGAGTAGTATTTAGGGCTCAGTGAGCATAGAGAAGATTTGTCTAACCATCCACAAGATATGAGTATCTTGCTGCATAGTATCCAAAGCATTTTTTTAAAAGGAAGGCTTACCCTATTCTACACCATGGACCACACCCATGATCTCTATCTGTGTGATCACAAAGGAGGTCCAGGAAAAGTATGGATAGATCAGCATAAGTCCCATCACCACTACTGAAGAGAAGAGATCACATGCCTTTCTGCTAATTGCTGGCATTTATTGAGGACTGGTTACATACCAGGTACTGTGTTATGTTCTTGACTTGCATTATCTCATTTAATTCTCACATCAACCCTATGAGGAAAGTACACAGTTATTTTCCTCAGTGATCTTATTTGATTCACCCAAGGCCACTTCTAGCAATTGTCAGAGCCAGGAATTCAATTTAGGTTTATCTGATTCTATAGGCCATTTTCTTAGCTATGCTGCCTGGAAGTGAGACAGTATTGAAATCTTCATTTATGAGAATATCTTAGATGTAGTCATTGATAAGATGAAATCCAGCTGACCTACAGGCCAGGTTGGTGACATTATCCACCTAGTACCTGATTTCAGTTAATTACTTTTTGCTCTAAAGCACACTCACAATCTAGTCAAACTTTGCCTTTTCTCAGGTTTCTGCATATCACTTCCAGAGTGAAAATTTAAGAAAAATAGCAACTTTTACACCCATTTGCAATCTGTTATAAATAATCAAAGCATGTATATTTCTCATCTTCATAGAAAAGAAGAAAAGAATCAGCCTTTTGGTAACTAGACTTGTGCTTGAGAAGGTTGCCAACCATTTGTTCCCATTGGTTTTGCTCATGAAATGAATATAAGTGAAGTTTATATTTATCTCTGAATTTTTCAACCTTTGCCAATTCCTATTCAGAAGCAGTAGCTGTGACATAGCTGTTCAACACTTGGGCTCTGTGACTAGACATATAATTTTAGCAGTTGGGTAAGAAAATAATATCCTGGCGGAAACACTGCAAAACTAGAAGAGAGGGCATCCACCCTTCTCCTGGTGAGCATTCTTCTGGAGCAGGAGATCACCCCACCCCCCTACTGTCGCAGCCAGGCACAGTTTAAATGAAAATGTGTTTCTACTGCTATGAATAAAGTATAGAAACCTTGCTTCTATTTGGGTCTCTTTACTCTCTCCACTGTTAAAAGATAATTTTTTAAGTATTTCTTCTACATATATTGAACAACGTGTCATATGGTATAATAATTTTTAACAATCAAATATTATTTAAGAAACTCATGAGAAGTATGCTAGAATATTATTTATATCCCTTCTTTTGTCCTTTCCGATATTCTTCTTTCCTTTTGGAAATTCCATGCCACCTTCTGCCATTTTCTTTCTATTTAGAGAACTTACTTTAGCCATTTGATAAGGGTAGTTATTCTAGCAACAAATGCTCTTAGTTTTGTTTCATCTAAGAACGTCTTTACATTCCACCTTTATTTCTGAAGGATATTTTTGCCAGCTGTAGAATTCATGGTGGACAAATCTTTCCTTTCACTACTCCAAAAATGTTGTTTCACTTCTTTCTGGCCTCTGAGTTTTCCGATGAGAAATCTGTCATTCCAATCAGTGTTTTTCTATAAATAAGGTGTCATTTTTCTTTGGCTGCTTGCAAAAATTTTTCTTTGTCTTTAGTTTTCAAAAGTTTAATTATGATGTTTGGGTTTATTCTATTTGAGGTTCACTCAGCTTCTTAAATCTATAGGTTTGTGTCTTTCACTATATTTGGAAAGTTTTCAGCCATGCTTTTTTTTTTTTTAAAGCCTCTTGTTTAGAGATTAAATTCCTCATTTTTTTCCTTTCCCTTTCCTTCTCTTTGTTTCTTTCTTTTTTTTTCACTTTCTTCTTTCCTTCCTTCCTTTTTTTCTTTTTTCTTTTCTTAAATCAATATAAGCAATAATGCAATGAACATCCTTTTACATTTTATTTTATTAGAATAAATGCCCGGGAAGTTTTTCACCAGTTTTACCTCCATCCGGCAGGGTGTAAACCTGCCTTTGTTCTTAAACATTTTCCCCTTCACTTCTCTTTTTTCCCCTACTGATTTGCTAAAGATTTTTGTTTACTTGTACAGTGATATAATTCCAGTTTCTGTTCTTTGTATTGCATTTCTGCCCCATTTGCTGTCTACTTTTAACTTTGTTTATGAGTATGGGGAGATGCACAAAGTCACAAAGCTGTCTACAGCCTAAGTGAAGCCAATCCCATCTCTGCCTCTAGATAGCTCTGTGACTTTGTGCAAGTTACTTAGATCTTGTTTTCTTTTACATGTCTAAAATCGGGAGAATTCATTTATAGGGTTGTTATTAGCACTAATGAGTGTGTTTGTAAAATACTGAGCACAGTGCCTGACACTGAGTAAGCATTAACAAATGATAGCTACTATTATAAGTTACAGAATATTTGAATGTTTATAATAGTCATATTTATTTTCCCTTTAGCCATAGGCGTTATAATTACATATTACCCTAAAGCTATATGAGTATTCACTTGTGTTTTCTTCTGGAAAATTTTAGAACTTCTACGGTTTTATATTTTACATTTAAAATCTTTAATCCATATGGAATGTATTGTGCTATATATTAATGAAGTGATGATCTGATTACATATATTTTCCTTTATGGCTAATCAGTTTCCCCAGCATTTATTGAACAAATCATCCTTCGCTTATATATTTGAAATGTTACTTCTATCATATACAAAATTCCCCCACACATGAACTAATTCCTACATTTTTTCTTTTGTTTCACAGATGTGACTATTCCTGCATTGACTACTGCTCTGTTTTATTTATGTCAGTTTTATAATGTTTTAATATCTGACATGGAAAGTTCCATCTCATAATTATGTCTTCCAAAGTTTCTAGGATATTCTTGTATAGAATATTTTTACATTAACTTTAAACTTGGCAAACTGATACTTAAATAATCCTGAATAGCAATAAATATATGGATTAATCTGAATATCTTTTACAGCATAATATTCCCATATAGGAACATAATATGTCTGTCTATTCATGTTCTTAAATAAAAATATCCCAGTAAAATTTCATGGTTATCTTAATGTTAATAGTGAATATTGCTTATTAAGGTTATTCCTAGGTATTTCATATTTTTGGCTGTTGTGAATGCTACTTCTTTGACCATTTTTTTTCCTCACTATTGTTTTTATATGGAAATTTATTTTTTATTAATTGCTACTGTAACCAACCACCTTATCAAACTTATCTATTCTAAAAATTTTAAATTGATTTAATAAATCAAGCAGTCACATTATTTGCAAATATAATTCAGTCTCCTCATTTATAATATTTATAACTCATTTTTTTGTTTTATTACATTGGTAAGATTTTTCAAACAATGTTCAATAATAGCAATAATAACAGAAATCCTTATTTTTCTGTATTTAATGATGATATTTCTATCTATAGTAAGGCCTTTCATGCTTTACTGTAGAGGATAATATTGGTTCTTTTCCCAATATCATATTTATTTTACACTTGTCTTTAAACATGTTCTTTCTTATGCTATAACCAATAGAAACAGAACAGTGGCTCATCATTTCCTTTTCCATATTGACAATATTTTTCTCAGTGACCATCAGCTATTTCCATCAAAAATTGTATATACTCCATGTTTTTCAAAAGTTAATTTTAAGAAAAATATTGTTTGTTTTCTTTTGGTTTTGTTCTTTTCTTTTTGTTACCTTTGTAGAGGAAAGGCTGATGACATGTTGATCTTTTTCATTGGCCACTATCTCGGTGATACTGAACATGTGCCCCAAAAGTTTCCCCACTGGCTTGGTGCTGATATTGGGGTGCCACAATCGGAGGACTTTATCATCTCCTGAAAAGGAGGACAGGAAAAGATTATTTATTTTCTCAGGTAGTCAAAGTTTCAAATGTATCTCTCACCCAATCATATTCGTATGTTTCTTCTAATATCAATCACAGTCTATTTCTTCCAGGATACATTCTGCGATTGATTTGTTTAAGATCTACTGCTCTTGTCAAGGCTGTTTTGTAATAATTGTATTTATACATACACATGGATATGATCATTATTTAAAATGTTTGCTATTTTAGTAGGTCCAAAATGATACTTTATTTTTGTTTTAATTAAATTTCATGATAAGTAATGCTGTTGAGTATTTTCTCTGATATGTATCTGCTAATTGTATCTGCTTCTTCTGTAAATTGTTGGACTATACCTTTTAGCCATGATCTATAGAAATTATGATATTAAAAATAAAAATTGAAGCAGACATTTATTATCATAAGGTGTGTATACAAGCACACACACACACACACACACACACACACACACACACACACACATCCAGTTTTATGACAAACTCTGGTTAGGTATTCACCAAACACATATTCTCTCTTCCTGAGTACACAGCTAGATTCCATTTCCCAGGCTCCCTTGCAGTTAGGTGTGGTCAGGTTACTGACATTCAGCCAGTGAATTGTGAGAGCTGATTTTAGATTTTACATAACCAAAAATAAATAAATTTTCATTGTGTCTGAACCATTAACATTTTGGGGTTTATTTGCTACAGCCGCCAGCATTACCTGAACTAATGCACAATTGTAATCTAATTGTATTTTTAAAAAGAGTAATCTAAACTGCACATACTAGTTTACAAAGTACAGAATATGTTTAAAATATTGGATTTTTCTGTTTCTCAAATAACTCATTAAATGTCATCCTGGAAGTTGGGTCATAAGAATATCAAGAAATTTAAAGTTGGCCGGGCGCGGTGGCTCACGCCTGTAATCCTAAAACTCTTGGAGGCCGAGGCGGGCGGATCGTTTCAGCTCAGGAGTTCGAGAACCCCAGCCTGAGCAAGAGCAGACCCCACCTCTACTAAAAATAGAAAGAAATTAATCGGACAACTAAAAATACATAGAAAAAATTAGCCGGGCATGGTGGCGCATGCCTGTAGTCCCAGCTACTTGGGAGGCTGAGGCAGGAGGATCGCTTGAGCCCAGGAGTTTGAGGTTGCTATGAGCTAGGCTGATGCCACGGCACTCTAGCCCGGGGAAAAAGAGTGAGACTCTGTCTCAAAAAAAAAAAAAAAAGAAATTTAAAGTTGGAAACTTACATGTTGTATGATCCAACATACTTATATCACAAAAGAAAGAAACTACCAAAGATTAAATAATATTACTTAAATGATTTAATTTAATTCAATCATTTAAATGTGAGTTGTTCAGAATCACTTACCAGAAAATGGAATCAAGTTAGGAATACTATAATGCAGTCTTAAGCACCTTACTTTTCTTTTTCTTTTTTTTGTGTATTTAACTTTATTGATTTATTTATTTTTATTTCAGGATATTATGAGGGTACAAACATTTTGGTTACATTTTATGACTTTGCCTCAACCACGCGAGGATTAGAGGCATGCCCTTCCCCTCTACAATGCTCACCGCGTCCATTAGTTGTGAGTTTACCATACCCCCCCCCCAACTCCCTAATCCCTGGAGAACATTACTACTGTATGAGCACCATAGTGTTGATCAGTTAGAAGCACCTTACTTTTCACTAAGAACCTTTAGGCTACTAGGAAAAAGATTGTATAAGAGCATTATAACCTAAGTTATAATTTTCATACAACCTAAGTTATGAAGTCATAATTTACATACAAAAAAACCTAAAATTCAAAATGATCATTTTAGTTAATCTGGTAGCATGTATTTGACCACCTGTAGATGTATTTGCTGATATATATTGGGTTTCTATGTCAAAAGATTTATCCATGCTGACAGAGCCAGCCAGATATGGAGGGATAATTAGGTGATTTGATTGGATATTCATAAACCAGGCAAATTTCATAGACACAGATGCTTCCATAATTCTATGATTATGTCATCAGGCCCCATGAAAACGTTTTTTTCCTCTCTCCTTTGAGTATCCCAATCCATCCTGTAAGCCTCAGCATAGCTATCCCTCCAAGAATATTCCAAAAAAACCTTCATATTCTTCAAAACTCAGTGCCTTCTCTATGTGCCTCCTTCATCCCCATTATCTTTTATACTTAATTATTTATTTTTCTGGACCATCTATTAAACTCTAAGTGCCCTGAGGACAGAACTTTTTCTTGTTTACTTTCATATCTCTAGTGTGTAACCTATAGTAAGAGTTCAACAAATATTGATGATGAATCATAGCCCAGAAGTTTAACCATCAAGTAAGTGTCAGAAGAGGGAGAAAACATGCATCCAATCAAAAAATGGGTTTTGGTTGAATGTTCATCTGATGTTTTGGGAAAGGCCAACTGTTCATTTCAGAGGCTGTCTAATCTTGGAGTGTTATTACAGGCCGGTTGAAAAAACTCAGGCACAGCTGATTCTTAGTTTCCATTTATCAAGCAACTGCTATGGACCGAATTCATTTTCCTCAAAATTCATATGTTGAAGCTCTAACCCCCAACATGATGGTATTTGGAGATGGGGCCTTTGGGAGACAATTAGATTTAGATGAGGTCATGAGGGTGCACCTTCATGATGGGATTTGTTTCCTTCAAGAAAATACACCAGAGCTGCTTCCTCTTTCTCTGTCTCTTCCACCACGTGAGGACACAGCAAGAAGGGGGCTGTCTACAGGTCAGGAAGAGAGCTCTCACCAGACACTGACCATGCCAGCACCTTGAGCTTGGACTTCTAGCTTCCAGAAATGTAGGAAAATAAATTTCTGTTGTTTAAGGCACCCAGTCTTTGGTATTTCATTATGGCAGCTCAAGCCGACTAGGACATCAGCCAAGATATTTTAGGGACTATGATCCATGAGCAAGTGGGATATTTTCTTAAAATTGAAATTTCCATGCTATTTACAAGAACAAACATTCCTTTAGAAATTACTGTACACTTAGTATTTTGCTGGATATCATTCCTGCCCAAAGTCTACTTTTTCCTAAGATCATTACCCTTTTAGACTTAGTTCCAACATTGTTTTTGCCTGTGCCTTTCCTAATCACCTTCCTCAGCCTCAGATGGAGTTAAGAGTCCTTCTTCTGTGTTCTTAGGGTATTTTCTTCAGATTTCTTTTATGGCACTAATCCTATTCAATAAAAGCTGTCTGTTTACATATCTGTGTGTATCTATACGGATCCATTATCTAGTGAGCCTCTATATTTCTCATTCATAGCAGTGTTTGCCAAGTAGTACATGCTTAACACCCGTTTTCTAAGTAAATGGGTTGCCTAGTAAAGTCACTCATAATGTGGTTGAGCATCATATTTCAAACAAATCTACTTTGATTTGAATCCTGGCTCTATAACTTAACTATTAAATAGCTTTATGACATTGAGTAAGTTGCTTCACCTCTCTGCATCTGAGTTTTCTTATTTAAGAAATAGGAAAAAATGGAATTTAAGTCATAGTTTTATTGTTAGTACTAAATGGAATCGTACATGTATAACCGAACAGTTCCTAAGCCACGAACTGACGGTAGATACTACTACCATTATTATTCTAAGTCTCTGTCTTTATAATTCAGTTAGAGAATGTTTGGGAGAGAGGAACTGATACATAGATATATGAAACATGGTCCCTGCTCTTGAGAGTTTATAATCTAGTAGTAGCAATAAGGCAAGCAGGTATAGAGGGAAAACAAACATTCATAGAGAGTATTTCAAATCTGAAGATAGGACTTTATACTATAAATAATATATTATGGCTCATAAGGGGTTAATTCCTTATTTCTTTGTTATTTTCTATTTATTTCTCTCTTTCTTTTTTTGCGAAGCCAGGATTTAGATAAAGCCACACATCAAAGATAGGATTTTCTTTCCTTTAGCAAGCTCTTATCTCAGTTGGTGAGTCACTTGATCTAAGTGCATCACTCTTGATGAGATGAGCTGGCTCAGTTCACAGAGAAAAGCAAGACAGAGAGAGGGAGAGAAAGAGAGCAAAAGAGCCTACAGTGAACCAGATTGCTGTGGTCCAGGAGGAATCACAGAGCTGGGTGGGAGCAAAGAGAAGTGACTCAGTCTCAACTCTGCCAGCTAACTAGTTGTGTGACTCATGGCAAATTGTTTTCTGTGGCCTCTATTTCCTCGTGTAAAATTATGACCTTCAAGATTCCTTCAAGCTCTAAAGTTTTATAATTGTATGCTCTGGAGGGAGAGATTACTACCGTGACAGGACAGGACAGTCTGGAATTTTTATAGGTAAGGAGAAACTCCCCAGGAGTTTCAGTTACATAATTCAAACTGAATAATTCCAATAAGGCAGCATCTTGCCTGCATTTGCTTTTCACTGGCAATGACCAAGAAGTTATCACATTACTCAGATATGTTCAGAGCCTAAGCCTCATACCCACAGATAGTCCCACATAATGTTGGTGGGGCATCCCCTGAAATGGGGTTATGATTCCTGGAGGATGAGGCCAGGCTATCCCCAGAAGAAAATCTACTAACTTGTGTATCACATGAAGAAGGATGCAATAGAGGACTGCCACCTGGGAATTGTTTAGGCCTCTTAAACTACAGGCTTTGTTCAGCATGCACTGTGAAGGAAACCCAATCTTCTACAGGTTCCCTATTGCTGCTACTAGAAGTCTTCCAGCTCTGCTTGTTTTTGTTGATAGGAATGAAATCCTTATACAGTTTGTGTGCTTTTTGAAGCCTGAATGAGCAGAAAGGGACATGATACTAAGCTCTCAATGCCTACAGTATTTCATCTGTAGTATTGTTACTACTATCATCGTCATCATCTGTTGACTCATGCTCTGCTTTTTATTATAGTTCTTCATAGACCTGTCTTATTTAAATTATTAGATTTTGAATTCTTGAAGGTTAGGAATACAACCTCATCTTTTTATAAGGTTTATAGTGCCTAGTCCATAATTTTGTTGAATAAAACATGAAGAAATACATGCAGAGTCCCCAGGATATCTTGGATGTGTGATAATTGTGTTTATATGCTGAAACTTCCATATTAGGGGCTTGATTCTTAAAATCGTTAGTGGAGACACTATTGGGTAGAAAAATTCTTGATGGTCACCAAAATAATGCTCAGGAAATTTGCAGGGTTTTTTTTTTTTTTTGTAAATACCCTGTCTTGATTTGGCTTTTTTTTTTTTTCCTGCATGAGCTTGTGTTTTTTCAAGCTCATCAAATGTCCCTGCACATTTAACACACTCAACTATGCCTAGCGAAGCTGCTTTCATTGTATATTTTGAGCCGTCAGCTGGTACATACTGTACATTTAGCAATGTGCTCGGCTGAGTCACTAATCAACAAGAGTATTCTCCTGAGAAAAATGTGTTTTCAGTTATTGAGGATTTGCATTTTCTAATAGAGGCTCCGTAACTGTGACAATTCAATAAATTATTCATGGTGAAAAGTATTAATTGCTTGTCAGTCATACTGCTAAATGTTTTCTTCCGTAAGAGAACTAGAAAACCTGTAATTAATACGTTGTCAAAGCTGTAGATGAGAGTCTTATAATGAACACTGAGGTTAATGAGAGTCAAACGCCATCATCCAGAAACGCTGAACTAGTTTAGTCCTAGAACTTTTACCTAGCACATTTTTTCCCCCAGAAATGATTAAAATACTGAGAGTACAACGTATATGAAAACTTGCCAGATCTTAATGTTTCTCATTCTTTTGTGTGAAAACAAAGGGCTGTCCACAGGAGTTGGTTAAGAATAAGGTGACAATCAGATTTTAGAAATCAAATCTCATATTAGCCATGTATTTAAGCACTGCTTTTTAAAGGATTTTTTCATGTGTCGGGTTTGCGTTGAAGAAGGAGAGAAGGCTAATATTTCTGCCTAACTGAAGACACGCAGTGGCGGGAGCAGCACGGTTGCAGGTTTGAGTTCTAGGTGCTTTTGCTGTCTACTCTCTCACCACCACGAGGCTCTCTCTCCTGCATCTCCTGGAGTCTTCTTCTGATCTGTGGTCCAGCCTGGAAGCGTGCTCATTTGAGGCAGTCATCAACTCAGGAAAGGGTTATAGGATCAAGCAATTGGGACACAAGTATCCTGCTTCTTTTTCTGAAAATACCTAATTCTAGCACTAGTTTCTTTGTGTGTTCTAGACCTCAGTGTGGAGCTCTTTAAATGATAACCATAATTACTACAAGTGAGAGACTCAATTTGTTCTTAGAATCATCACTACCAAGTATGAGGAAACTTGCTCCCCATCTAAGCCATGACTCCTACACACTTCTTTAAGACTTTTTATCCATATGCCCTCCTTTCTTTTCTCGATGTCCTCAGTTAAATTTTAGAAATTTGTGGCCAATTAATGATTTCTTGCTCTGAGTGCACAAAGCTGTAACTATAAATTGAGTAGCATCTAATTGGCAAACTAGGTTCCAAATTTTCCAAAGGATTTTTTAGTTCATCTCCCTAAGAACATGCAGATCTTTAAAGAATGAAATCACAGTACCCTAGTCTCTGAGGGATCTTAGAATGTATGTAGTCCAGCTTCTGCATTTTACCAGATAAGGAAAATGGGCAACAGGGAGAGATTAAGTGATTGATGAAGAACATGCGATTAATTAGTGGCCAGGCTATGACTATACACAGCTCTTCTAACTTCTAGTCCTTCTTATTTTCATTCGTTGTGCTTTTCAATAGACTTCTATATTATTTTTGTAAAAATATTTAAACCATAAGCTATTATAATTTCAAGTAAGTGTTGTAGAAGATCCAAAGCTGAGCACAGATTTAAATATGAATTCAAATGTGCAGTGTACTTGGAAAAAAATTAACTTTATGCTCTCAGGGGAGATTACCTAGTCATGAAGTAGAAGCTTGGCTGTCTTTATTCTTAGCAATATGGGAACTTAAGTGGGGAGGCAGGATACTGTAGGTAGGAAACCAGACATCGCCTGCTGTGTGTATTTATGGGTAAGGAATTTGAAGAAATCTTACATAGAAGGAGCCAATAGCACTTACTCATTAAACATCTTGGCTCCTTTAATGGGTATTTTTGCTCTAAGCTCTTTTGCCAATGGTACGTTTACTGACTTTTCTGATGACAGAGTTTTCTTCTCTTTTAAAATCTTTTTTGTCCTTTGCCTTTTAATAGTTCAGGTTTCCAATATAAGCCACCTTCTTGATGTTTGTTTGTGTTTCTGTTTTGTCCATTTACATATTGGACTTCTACATGCCTGTTGTCTGCTGTACGGCGATCCTGGTCTCCTTGGGAAGCTTCTGGGAGCTCATCTTCTTCCCCATGCAGGCAGCTTGGGAACCTTAACATCCCTCATCTCCAACTAGATCTTTTCCCGTCACCACAAGGAACACCCTCTTGGATGCCTAATAAACGCTTGACATTTAATTTCAAAATGGAGCCTTTGTTTGCTGTCCTTCCCCATGTGAGCTCCCTCTTTCTGATTTCTGTCTAACTATCAACACAATTACTGTTCTTCCATTTCTCTCCCCTTAAAAACTGAGAGCTGGTTAATCTCTCTTACTAATCCCCTATATCATGCTGTCTCCAGGTCTCATGAATAATTCATTTCTCCTGTCTTGAGACTGGCTCGCTCTTTACTTTTTCCACAGCACCTATGATAATTCAGACCCTCTCCATCTCGCTCATGTCTTCTGTGACAGCATTTTAACTGGAATCTCAGGTTCCATTTTATTCCAACAAAACCTCCACATCTTGGAAAAAAGGTGCTGTACCGAGCATACGTAACCTCAGTTAATCTTGAACACCACCATATGAAGTCGGTGTCCTTTTCTTACTGTTAGTATTATCATTAGCAAACATGTATTGAGCATTTACTATGTGCAAGGCATTGTGCTAAGTACTTTACTTGAATAAGTTTAATTCTTATAATAACCTTATAGGTTGATACTATTATGAGCTCCACTCAGAGATGAGATTGAAGCTTAGAGGGGTAAACAGCCTGCCCACCTCACAGTTTGCAAGTGAGAGAGCCAGGATTGGACCTAAATGGCCTGACTCCAGAGCCCAGGCTCAGAGCCATCACGCTGTATTAAAACCCCAGTATTATGGATGAGGAGGCTGAGTCTCCAAGGAAATTTTAGTCCTCTACCTTTCCCCAGAGACTTCTTATTTTGTCATCTTTCCCCTTAATCTCAGAAGATCACCTTGTTTCCTAGCTTCTACCTTACTTATCCCTTAAATGTGAGTATTTTTCACGATTTTATCCCTGGCCCTCTCCTCTGTTAGCTCTAAACCATTGGCTCTTGACCTTGTTAGTCATGGTCTCCTTTTGAGGATTTGATAAAATTTTGGACTTTTTCTCCAGAAAAAGGCACATACACACACAGTGTCATTCTGCTTCAGGCAGCTCAAGGACTCCTTTAAAGCCTAGGAACTCATGCTCTCATGCATAAAAATAAGTTCCAGATGAATTAAAGATCTAAAGGTAAATTAAAAAACAAAATAAAAATGAATTATAGTAAATTACAGGATGTTTTTTTTTTTTTTGAGTCAGGGTCTTGCTCTGTTGCCCTAGCTGGAGGGCAGTTGCATTATCGTAGCTCACTGCAACCTCAAACTCCTTGGCTCAAGCAATCCTCCTGTCTCAGCCCCATAAGTAGCTTGGACTACAGGCGTGCGCCACCAAGCCCAGCTAAGTTTTCTATTTTTTGTAGAGATGGGAGTCTTGCTGTGCTCAGGCTGGTCTCAAACTCCTGGCCTCAAACCATCCTCCCACCTTGGGCTCCCAAAGTGCTAGGATTACAGGCATGAGCTGCCACACACAGCCCAAAATACAGGAAAATTTGTTTCACACATTCTTGGGCCAAGGAAGGCTTTTCTAAGTGTGCCATCAAATCCAGGAGCCAGAAAGAGACAGACAGATTTGACTTTATACAAATTTTTACATTCCCTAATAGGTTTTCTCCAGCAGTAAAATTTAGGGAGAGCACTGTTTGCAAAGCAGAAAAATCTCTGTGTGTCATAAACTGTTCTCTTACCTCCAGTAACAATCACATTTGCTTTAAGACAGTAGCAAAACGTGTTTGCTCCTCTTGGCATGGAAAACTCTCTGACAGGCCTGGGAAACACAAATTAGAGGCAAAACGTATACATTTTTCTGTATAAAGCAAATTCCAACTTATAAATATTGATAGATGATGATGTTTAACAAGCTCATTTCTAAATTGGTTGTAAATCCATTTACTCACAGACAAGATCATAAGTATTAGTAATAATTAAGTCCTCACTAACCCACAGAATCTACTTACTCCATAATGTGGTGATATTTGTAAAGCACTTTGTGTTGTTCCTGCTTAGAAAGAAATCCAGCCCTCCACTCTGGGTTTGTGGTTTTGCGGGTGGTGAGGAGGGGCAGAGCTATAGCAAGTCTTAATCCAGAAAGTATATTGGGTTGCTAAGCGGGTCTGTTTGGTAGTACATAATGCCAGGAACCCATTTGGACACTTCTCTCCCACCCACATCCAACTTGCTGTCAAGTTCTGTTGTTTTTACCTCTAAAATATACCTGAAACCTGATATCTGACCATTTCGTCCTGTCCCCACCGCGATATCTTGGTTCAACTCTCCACCCTCTCTCCCCAGAACTATTGCAATAAACTGCTACTTTCTCAGCTTCCACTGCTGCTCACTCTTCTTCCCCCATTCCCACCCCAAACCCTGTTGTCACGCTGCAGCCAGAGTGATCTTTGTAAAATATGAAGTAGATCATACCGCTTCTCTCCAGTAGTTTCCCAATACTCTAAGGAGAAGAGTCAAGTTCCTCTCTCTGGCCCACTGCCCTGAGTGATCTGTGTCACCTTTCCAGGTTTACCCCATGCCCTCCTCTTCCCCATGCACTACCACCCACCCACACTACTCTCATCGGCCACCTTTCTGGACACACTGAGCTCTTTCTGCACTCCAGAGCTTTTGCACAGGCAAAGATGTTCTTCCCCCATACCCCAGCCACACTAACAACTGTCCTCCTTTTGGTGTCAGCTTAAATGTAACTTTCTTAGAAAGGCCTTTCTTAGATACCACCTTCCCACTCCCACCAACTAAACTGTTTTTGAGTTATTTTGTCTCCTAGTACCATGTTAATTTTACTTAAACATACAGAGTCAACCATATAATTTTAACATATATGTTTTGGGTGTTAATATCTGTGAGTAGTATTGTGCCATGCTTTAAAAAGCTCAGAGATGCAGTGGCACGTGTCTGTAGCCCTGGTTACTTGGGAGGCTGAGGCAGGAGGATCGCTGGAGCCCAGGAGTTCAAGTTAAACTTGGAAAACAAAGTGAGACCTCATCTCTTAAAAAAAAAAAAAAAAAAAAAAAAGAGCTCAACATCTATCTTAGGGGAATAAGAGAAAGAACTAATCTTTATTGAACACTATGTTCCAGGCATTAAACCAGGTACTTTACATGCGTTAACTTAAGTAATTTTTGTAAGACTATAAGGTAGGTATATTCATTGCCATTTAAAGATCAGAAAACTGAGGATAAGGAGAGCTAATGGTAATGTGTTCCACCGTCACAGAGCTTGTGAGTGCGAGCACAGAACCAGTTCTATCTGGCTCCACAGCAACCCTACCGAGGGGAACTATATTCTTTCCAATAGAATAATCTGCCTTTGAATTGAGTAAACTAATAAAAAGTAATGCCGAGTAGTGGGTTGCTTATCTCTTGGAAATTGTCAAGCTATCAAAGGGTTAAAGGTCAGCTTATGTCTTGCAAGCAGACAACATGCTGTACATGGTGTAATTAATTGCAGATGTTTATTTTCTTGCTAGTACAAAACTCCATTTGTGAAATTACCATACAAAATCATAACCAGAATGATAATCACATCTGAAATGGAAAAGTTTTTGAGAGATTTTTTTTTCCTGCCTTTTTAGGAGCTGTATTGGCTCCCACTTTAACAGCTGGCCAATCATGTATTTGTATGAATTCAGTTGCATCTGGCTCAACTTAAGATCCATTGTAGGTAATTGCAGAAACGGGAATATGTAGAACCTAGGAACGGAGGGGACCTGGCTCTCATTCTATTGAGAGGACTCTCCATAAGCAGTGGTGATTCAGGAAAACATGATTACGTATCACTTGAGAACCTCTTCAGCTTCTAGATTTAGAAGGAAAGTGGCCCAAGTGAGGAAGTAGTTGAAAAGCTCATGCGGAATGTGACGGAACAGATCAATGATCACTGTTTGCTGAGGTTGTCTGTGTATTTTTATCTCACAGTTTCCTGACTCTTTCTCAGCTGAATATGTTACCAGCTGAATTCCAGAAGATAGGGGAAATAGTAGGAAGCCCAGAACCAGGCTTAAGGACAAACTCCTGACTATTGCAAAGCAGATGCTTTTAGGAGCAAAATACTAAAATGCATCGATTAGTTTGAAAAATAAAATCTTCTAGATAATTTAAGTGTTTACAACTACTAAGTACCAAATCTACAAAACACTATGGAGAGTAGGAATTTAAATCTCCTATAATACCATTATATAATATAAATTAAAAATACCTATAAATATATTTTGAGAAAAACATATAAACAAAAAGATGCATTAAACCCAATAGAATGGTTACCTCTGTGTGTGTGTGTGTGTGTGTGTGTGTGTGTGTGTGTGTGTGTGTTTGAGTGTGAATAGAGTGGAGGATGAGGATAAAAAGGACTAAAATAAGAAAGGGAGAATGTGACAGTGTGACTAACTCAACTCTGCTCTTTATTCCTCTAACCCAGTAGGTCATCAATTCTTGCAAATTATGCAAGAATCTATTCTCTCTCCATCCCTACTTACAATAGTTAAATTCAAACATTCATCATTTCTCTTTTTAAGTAGTATTGTCATAATCTTCCCCAATTGATTTTCCCTCTTTTTAACTTGCCTTTTAACTTGTCCCAATCCAGTCTCCACCTTGCTTCTAGGGTAATTTGTCAAAGACACTTATCACTCTCCTATTTAAAGCATTTGATGGCTTCCTATAGCTTTCAAATTAAAATCCCAACTCTTTAGCATGATACACAGGTCTTTTCACGTTTGGCCTTTCTGGCCCACATCTTTCCCAACTCTTCTCCCCGCCGGCGCTCCAATCATATTGAACCGCTCGCAGTTTCCAGGACCCACCATCTTCTTTTTTATTTCTGCACTTTTGCAAATGCCATTTCTTTATTGTGTCTATTTATCCACTCAATTGCTTCAACTAATTCTTACCAGTTCTTCAAAACTCAGCATGCATGACATTTTCTTGAGGAAGCATTCCCCTATTTCCCTCCCATGCCCCATAATCCTACACTAAGATGCTCTGAGCACCCTCTTCTGCTCCCATACCCCTCTCTTATATCTATGTCATGACATTTATCACCCTCCGTGGGAATCATTCATTTGTTTTCTCCCTCATTAGCCATGAGATCAAGGACATGGTCTTATTTATCTTTAAATTCCCAGCACCTAGTACAGTGCCTCAAACACAGTAACTCATCAACTAGTATTTACTAAAAAAATATTCAGACTCCTACTCTAAAGCTTCTTCTGGAATTCTCTATGTAGTTTTACTCAAATTAGGGAATAATCAGAAAGAGAACATTGGATATATTAACAATCCTCAACAGTCCTAGTGTCTTGAAAAGATATACCCTTCAACATAATTAAAATGCAATAAATACAAAGACTGAGGCATAAAAAGGATACTCAACCCATGTTGGAAGACAGGTGCTAAGAAAAGGTCAGGAAAATTCCTTGGACTAGGTATCATCTGATCCTTAAAGGATCATGGAGGCTGGGAAAGGAAAGAGGAAGGAGAGTGGGGAGAGTATTTTAGGTCCCAAACATGTACAAAGTCCCAGCATGGGGTTTCCAGGGAGCAGAAAGAAGTTCAGATTTACAGAAAGCCAAGTACAGGGCAGTGAAGGGTACTGAAGGGGATAAGGTAGAGGGACATGCAGGGGCCAGACTATGGAAGTGCTATGTAGAGGGGATGGAGAAACGTGAAAGGTATTGAGGTGGTTTGATGTCTTCTTCAGGAGAATACCCTGGAAGACTAATGGACAATAGTTTTGACAGGGATAACATTGAGGCAGGAGGCCAGTGGAGATAAGAACTTGGAAAGTGAGAGGGATAGAGATAAAGAAAATAAGACAGATTCAATGAGTTTTTATGAAGTGATATAGACAAATTTGGTGATTGATGGTTTGTGGGGATTAAGGGAGAGGAAGGAGCCATATGGGGTTGCCAGGTTTCCAACTGGGGTGACAGGTGGATCACGGTAACACTAAACAAAATACAAAATGCTACAGAAGGCCTACAGTTAGGGGTGGGGAAATTAAATTCAGATATGATTATATGAGTTTGAGGGTCTGTGAGATATCCAGGTGGAAATGTTGAACAGGGATAAGTCCAAAATTCAAGATAGCTTGGGTTTCATCAGTACACAGTTATTGGTGTGTTGGAGAAAATGAACATCACCCAGGAAGAGCATAGAAAGTGAGAAGAAAAGCTGGATAAAGATAGAACTCTAGAGACCACCACCATTAAGGGCAGGCACAAAAAAGAACAATCACAAGAAAAAAAGAACAAACAGTAAGACACTAGGAGAAAACTCTGGCTTCCCAAAAGCCAGGAGAGTAGAATATCAGGGTGGGTGAGATCAGTAACGCTGATCTTAACACTTAGGCTAAGTGATTCCACAAAGTAGAAGCAGGAGAAGTTATATTAGAGCAAATTAAGGAAGAAATGAATAATGTCAAGGAAATGGAAGCAGTGAATGCAGAGTACTCTTCCCAGAAGTTAGAATAAGAAGAGAAAAAAACATGTAGTATGATCATTAGAAGGAGATTGTAGGTCAAGGAGAGGATTACTCATATCAGAAGAGAATTCAGCATCATGGGATAATGAGAGAGTAGGAGAAACCGAGATGGCAAGATCCCAGAGAAGATGGAAGGGGTTAAGTGCAAGGTCACCAATGCAGGGTTTGATACTTTAACCTCTGAAACAGAAAAGAAGGATAGGTGGGGCTATAGATAATTTTGAAAGGTATAATGTGTTGAAGAATTCCACCTTGTGACCTCAGCTTTTTACATCAT